AATAGATCAGTCATGACTGACCCCTGATCTACAATTATTTTCAATGATCAGAACTGATACAGATATTGATATAGAGAAACCCCAGTCGCCATGCCAGCATGCCGAGCTAACGTACCAGCGCGCGTCGCCTCTGCTGCAGCAGCTTTATCAGGCCCTGAGAGGAACAGGAAGTCAGGGTTAGCACGCGGCTCTGCTAACGCTCACCTCCAGGTGGCGCCATGGTTCTCACCGTGTGATGGTCGGCATGGAGATGGGAGATGAAGACAGTGGAGATCCGGGACAGCGCCTGGTCCACGGCCTCGCCGTAGTGTGTGCAGAGCTGACTGAACGTTCCCTCGCCGCAGTCCAGCAGCAGCGACTGACTGGAGCTACACACACACACACACACACACACACACACACACACACACACACACACAGCTGAACACACACAGCTGAACACACACGCTGCGTTCATCTCCAGGTTCTCCTACCTGATGTTGACCAACGTTCCGCTGACGTTCCTGGTCTTCATGGGGATCGCCGACCCAGTTCCCAGAAACACAACGTGTGGGAACCCGTCAGCCGGACCTGCAGCAGGAAGCAGACTCCACTTCAGAACCAAACTCTGAATTTATCCATCCAACCTGATCCGACTCTGGACCCACCAGAATCGTCTGGACAGGCCGTCCGGCACTTCTCCACTTCCTCCAGGAAGTTTGGGATCTCAGAAGCTTCTTTCACAAAGTCCTCGGTGCTGCAGGAGGGAACGGCGTCTCTGAACATGAGACAGAATGAAAACGGAGTCAAATCAAATATCCCATCAACGCTGCGGACAAAAATGAGCAACGGGAGAAAACCTCTGCCACTCCATGATGGGTCGCAGCTGGAACTTCAGCAGACACTCGGCTCGGACGTTCGGAACGTGCAGAGCCGCCTGCAGCTCCTGAACATAAAATAAAATGAAATAACTGATTTTGTTCCTGTTGTGTGAAAAAGAAACACATGGATTCAGAAACTCCAACGATTAAAATGTTTGTTCTGGTCGATTCAGCTGCTCTCATTTCTGAACCTTTTGCCAAAAAAAATTCAGAAAAACAAACAAAAGCAGCAAAAACAAAACAAACCTGCTGAGAACAATGAAATATTAATAAATCAGATTAATTTGTGCCTAAAACATTCACTTCCTCTTCCTGGCCTTCACAGAATTCAATTTCTGATCTTTGATCTTTAGATTTCTATTTAATTTCTAATTGATGTAGACGGAGGAGGCTGGAGGAAAGAAATGATCAGATCATTTAATATTTAAAAACTAGACAGAGAGAAAATATATGATTATGTGCAAAGTCTGACATTTTAAAGAGTAAAATGAAAAATAAACTAAACAAGTTTACAGTATATTAAGGTAAAAAACAAACAAATTATTTAAATATGGATTTTTTATGTAAATTGACAGCAGGAAGAAAAACTGAAGCAACATGATGCTGATGGGATCTTAGTAAACAGGAAGCAGGAAACTGTAAACAGGAAACAGGAAGCTGTAAACAGGAAACAGGAAGCTGTAAACAGGAAACAGTAAACAGAAAGCTGTAAACAGGAAACAGAAAGCTGTAAACAGGAAACAGGAAGTGTACCGTTGTTCTGGCGGCTCTCAGCGGGGGGAAGATATCTGGGTGGATCATGTTGAGCTGCGTCTGGATCTTGTGGCTCCGGACGTGGTGGACGGTGCTGACGTGTTCATTGAGGATCAGATGTTCTGTTGACGACGGGAACCTGAAAAACCCGGAGTGGACTCAGACCTTCTGGACTCCACCTGAAACAAGGCGGTCCGGTTCTGAACCGCGACGGTCCCACCTCTCCATCCACTCTTTGTACTGATCCGTCTTCAGGATGGACTCAGGAGTCATGTGGACCACCAGCGCGGCCGGATTCTCCGATCCGCCATCCTGGAACCTGGAAGGAGCAGAGACCGGTCAGCGCCGGACGGCTGCAGCCGCCCTGAGCTCATCTGGCTGGACGACGGTTACCGTCTGAGCTGCTGGCTGCTGCACAGCGCTGGGAGGAACTCCTCAGACGGACACTCCAGCACCAGGAAGACGGGCCCCGGGTCAGTGGGGGTGCAGACCTGCTCCGGCCGGATCTGTGAGGCGAAGCAAAGCGTCAGGCGGCGCTTTGGAGATGTAATCTGATTACTGCCAGGCAAACAGACTGCACCTCTTTTCCATCATGCATGACGGTTTCTCCGTTTTTCAGAGCCCTGATGAGCGGGCCGATCTCTGATGTTCCTCTGCAGAGACATTTTAGGAAGAAATCAGCGAAATCGGGACGGTTTGGGTCAGACGTCAAATCATGAGGCGCTGACTCACACCGGCAGACCCAGATCTTTGGCTTTAGTCACCAAGAAGTTCCCTTTCTTAGGATGAAGCTGCAGGAGAGAAAAGGACGTCAGAAACAAACTCCAACATAAAGACCTTGGTTTTCTGGTGCTGACCTTGCAGACAAAGGCGATCACCAGGGAGGAGTCTCTGCCTGCTGCGCTTCTGTCACCTGGAAAACAATTCAGACCAGAAATTGAACAGGAACAGTTCATTCACACCTATTCTGTTCAGTCCACTCATATCCAACTACAGTCCATTTGTCTAGTCAAAGTCCGGTAAGATAAGAATGCTAACCGACCTCTAACCTCTGGTACTCCAAACCTCAGAGTGGGTTCAGTTGAAGTGAACGCTGGTTCTGTTTGTGAGCACCAAGTGGACCAGAGGTCGCTCCAAAAGCAGGAAGTGGACTACATCGCAGGGAATTCTGGGTAAATACAAGCTAATGTGCTAGCCTAGCGCTAGCAGCAGAAACTGCTCGTGGTCTTTAGCCAAAGACTAAAGAGACACTGAGAGGCATGGTGGTGGCAGTGTGATCCTGAGGCTTCCTGGTTAAAACTCTTACAGATCCAGTTCTGATGGAGCTGAGCTGAAGCAGCCGTCTCACCTGATTCTTCTTCTCTGGTTTTGCGCTGCGGTCCGTCTCTCTTTGGCGATCTGCTGCTGCTTCTGCCAGCCTGCGGTGAGTTTCTTCCTCTGTCTATTCCTGAATTGGCTACAAAAAACATAAAAACCAGATGAAAATATCAATGCTTTTGAAAGACAAACTCTGAGGAAATAATAATAATAAAAAATCATTTGAATTTACCAAATATGGGCACCTGGTACACAGTCATGGTTTCATCTTTGTGCATCTCCTCAGTGTACGGTCGAACAACTGAGAGGACATCACATCATGAACAACCTCACCAAAAACACAACATGACATTACATTACACTCAGAGACATCCGGCCTACACAGCTTCATCTCCTCCAGAGGCCCAGAGAAGGACTTTATGGCATGCAGGTAGTTCTTCTGAAACATGAACAGATGCAGGACAGAACGTCAGTCTCTCCATGAAACCCAAAGCAGCCACCTGTGAAATGTTCTGCAGTTTCTCACCAGCTGTGGAGGTCCAGAGACGACACACTCAGGGACGCCCGTGTCCTTTAGGGTTAATATCATCCCTGCAATGCAGATTCAGAAAATACAAATATATTATTAATAACAGTCACAAAAAATACATGCAACTAGCAATGACATAAAAAACAGATTTATATTTGAAATGACTCCATTATTAGTATCAATATCCACAAAACAAAGTCTGCTGATTGATTCATTTTGCTTGCAATTATTGCAACAGACGATAATATTATTGTTTTGAGACTATTTTCAACTGATATATTGAAATAATAATGAAAGTTTTCCCTTTCAAAGACCAATAACCTTTAACTATGTGAAGAACACTTTAAGTTTCCAAAATGAAGCAAAAATAAAAACCATAAATAAAATGGATTATGACGTTCTCAAATATCAGAGTGGAAATTCACAATCACTTCTCTGTGGAAACTGTTGAGTTTCTCTGATTCATAACATTTTGTAAAGAAACCCCAGTCTCTAGCATGAGAGCGTGATTTTAGATGTTGACCTCTGACCTGACAGGCCTCCCACATTGTCCCAGCTCAGTCGGGTCAGGAAGATGTTGTCCAGCCGCGCCGCCTTCAGCCTGCGGGTGAAACAGATCCATGTTAGCGCCGTTAGCTCAGCCAGCAGCCGGAGACAAAGGCGCAGCTTACTTGTGTTCCTGCATGAGTCTCTGGGTTCCTTCTCCACAGTTGAACAGGTACCTGCAGCACAGAGACTGAAAGATTTTAACCCTACAGACTGGAGCCTTCTAAAATAGTAAAACAGACTATCCAATGCAGTTTGTGTATTACAGTTCATTTAACGGAAGCTACTGATGTGGATCTTTGAAGTTCTGCCATAAAATCCAGAACAATCATGTGATTTGCTTTAATATATATTTTACTGTAATTCCCAACTTAAACGTAAATAGTTCTCAGTTAGTTTGATCCAGTAACGTTTTAGAGAAGTCTCCTATTAAAGGGCTGCACAGTTGCTACAGGTGTTGCTTTGCTGCAAGAAGGTTGTGGGTTTGAATCCCAGTGTGCCTGACTGCACTCAGTCCAAAAACATGACCGTTCGATCACTATCACTTTACAACAGATGTATTTGTTGAAGTCTTTAAATTCAAAATGAGCATAAAGTGAAATCAGTAAACCCATTATGCTCTTTTTTCACTGATTTATTAATTGCAATGTTTGATCATTTGAAGAACGGTCACTTTGTGGCTCAAAATGTGGAAAAAGGATCTGAAATCCTAAAGAAACCCTGCCAAATGAGTAACGTTCACTGGCTGTATGTAAACTACCATCTCCGGGTAATTGATGAGGGAAACGTGAGCGTATTCTTCTTTAATTGACGTACTTAAACTGAAACAAGATCTTTTATCTAATATGAAGTACGTGAAGCGCCTACCTGTTGTACTCGGAGAAGACGTAAAGCGACGCGGTGTTGTCCCTGCTTCCCGCACCGACCACCTGAACGTACACGTTGGACGGTCCGTGAACGTCTCCCCGCTTGTCTTTGCTCTCCTTGATCTTCTGCCAGCGGAGCTTCTGCTTCTGCGGCCTCGTCGCTGAGAACTGGTTCCCAGAGATCGCCATTGACCGGACAAAGTGGGAAACAGTCCGGTAAGGAGAATAATCGCAGCGTGGGGCCGTCGCAGCGGCAGTTACAGCTCTGCCGTTCACAACCAGAAGCCTGCAGAGCCTCACATGGGAGCTATTCATGCTAAATGTTCAGCTAATCATCAGAATGTCCGAGGCAGGCGGTGTTTACGAGCCCAAACTCCTCCGCTAACAGTCCTGACACATTTAGCATTTAGCACATTTAGTCCACACTTTCAGCCTCCTTCACCGGACGTTGAATGTTCCACACATGCGACCTCTCTTCCGGCAAGTGATGAACGTCATCAACAAGTTCCCAGTTCTTAACGCTGATTGGTTACCGGCAGTCATTGACAGGTCTTTGGGCCAATCAGAGCGAGTTTCCCACAGAAGAGGCGGGACTAGATATTGTGTGAATAACAACGTTTTTAGCTCTTACTGAAAAGCTCTTAACCTACATGTTCAATATTAAGCGAGATTCATTTGAATGCAAACATTTTAAGGCACAAGATTTGCATTTATTCACTGAAACTTATTTGAAAATATTACATTGAAAATTTGTTTTTATTTTAAAGTTTGTATCCAGTGGTGTATTGTTTTTCCTAACAATCACACAATGACTATTAAAACAGATGAGAATTTAAGTATACATTTAAATGTACAGTTTTTTGTATAAGTGATAAACTAAAGCGAGTTTAATTTTTTACAGAAAAGTCAGTCTTATTTTTTTGAAAACTTTGATGGATGGATGCTATGAGCCAGGCGTTTAGGTCTGAAAATACAGGTACTTTTTCCATAATGTGTGTTTTTTTTCTTTTGCATACATATTCATGCATGCATCATCTGCACCCACCTGTCCATGCAGGGCTGCGTGTGTCTGGAAGATGCTCCAGTCGGAAACATGAGCCACTGAAACCATCGACATGAAAGGAGGATCTGAATAACCACAGATGTTTTCTTCTTCAGTGGCCTCTGCAGCTTGATGCTTCATCATTTAAATAATATATTTATAAAAAACGTGAGTCTGATTTAACATTTCATATATTTGTCCCTCTTCGTGCTTCCCAAGCATAATGAAAACAGTATTATGTGAGTTGATCAGCGTGGAATCGTGTCATGGCTGATAACCGAAGATCAGCAGGCGTACTGTAACCTGGATTGTTTCCATCCAGTGGGATTAAATGTGCCGGGCAGCAGCTGCTCCATCAGAAACAGATGAAAAGAGGAACCAAACGGTCACAGATCGGCTGCTGTTAACACACTGCAATTGGATTTTCTCTGCTGCTTTTTCAGCTGGTTGAAGAGCTTAAACTCGTGAATAAAGCAGTTCTGCTTTATTCACGTCTGCTTACCAAAAGCAAAGGTGGCCTCTTCTCTCTCGTTTCAATTTATTGAGGATTTTCTATAATCCAAATAAAACATACATTCATCTAAATCAGGGGTGCTCAAAGTATTGCTTTGGCCCTCACACTGAAACGTTTGCACATTATTGATGTAAATCTTTGGTGCTGAATGTCTTTTAACTTGACTAGTTAAAGGCTGACTAGTAATCCAGATTGGTAATCCAGACTGAATGAAGCCAGTAGCTTCTGTTTGTCATTGGACTGACAGCCGGAGCATCAAAGAGCCTGATGCCCTTTGACTCGATGCTCCAGGTCAAAGGGCATCACCTCATCCTGAAACCGTAAGATGTGGAAGAAGATCCATCCATCAGAGACTCAGCCTTGTTGTTCAGGAACAACTGAGGTTTAAAATTCACTTCAGTTTGTTTATGTGTCTCTGATTCAGATCAACCAGCTGCTGTTGATTCTTATAAAACTGTTTCTGACTGAACAGATTTTTTTTATGCAGCTGTTTTTATAACCCAACGTTTCTCCGAACCTAAATTGGTGAAATTGGTGAAATCCTTTTCCACTCTGCGGAGGAACTCTGAGAAGCTCGGGGATGTTTGGTGTTATAAAAATCCATCACTCACATCTTACACTTTTCTTTTATTCACATCTTCAAGTGTGAATTAGAACAGCAGCAGGAACCAAGCAGAAGCGGCTCAGTTCCTGCAGCTTTGTCTCTGTCCAGGAACTGACAGGTTGATCCAGAGTTAGTGACTGATTCCTGCTTCCAGCTTTCACTCCGGACAGGCGCTTCTCTTCCAGGATCACTGCTCCGCTCTGTGCTTCTCTCACTCATTCCAGTTTAATGCATCTTGGATGCAAGAAGGCAGATTCAGCTCAGGTCAAAGCAGGAGGGTGTTGCCTTGGTCCCAGAATATAAACATGGTTTTAACTCTGCAGATGCAGATCGGATGTGAAGCTGGGAGTATTCTCCTCCTAAGTATTCTCCTCCTTCAGCAGTACGCCTCCACCTGCTGCTCCAGCGGATGCTCCACCTCCTCAAACACGTACGGCGCTCCGGTGGAAGGCTTGTGGCCGTTTACCAGCGGTTCTGGCAGAACCTCCGGGTCGGCTGGAGCTGCAGTCAGGTACATGTTCCACACCTGCTCAGGCAGACCCAGCTCCATCATCTTCTGCTTGATCAGCAGGTTCTTCTCGATGTTGTGCCGCTTGTATTTAAACTCTATGATGGTCTTGGTGTATCTGTTCAGGGTTGTGACTGCAGAGCCCATGCAGGTGCCAAACGAGCACCAGGCTAAGCTGCAAAGAATACAGTTATTCAGTTTAAATACAATGCAGCTTTTTAACTTTTCATCTCATTTCACAACTCAAAACTGGATCTCAACTCGTTTCTTTCTCCATAAAATTAGATTCTGTTTGAATTTTTAAGCTTTTGATAAAGTTCTTACGCGTAAGACCAGCTGTAGTCCCAAGTTTTTGGCCTCCAGTCTTCAGGTCCCATAGAGACGGAAAGATGGAATATGGTGGTGAACATCATGTGGGCGACCATCCCACAAAGGCCTGTGAGCAGAGCAGAGGTCAAAACGCTCCAGTGTGTTTTTAAAGGCAGTTAAGACAAGCTGTAGTTTTTACAGTGTTTAGACACTTTTTAAAATCTCATTTCAAGAGTCTTAGTTTGGTTTCAGCATCTGTTAGGTAGAAACAGCCGCTCACATTCACAGACAGATTATAACGAAATTTTATTTATTTTTGTAACTTTTGGTGAAACCAGGAAATCATGTCTAATGAGGCAGAGGGGCGAGGTGAACGCAGACTCAGTGTCTGTGCAGCAGCTTTTTCTGGGATTAACAGAACAACAGGGCGGGGGAGGGGGGTCCTCTGGGCGGATCTGGGAACTGCCCAAACCGTTGCCTCGGTTCCAATCGGATTACTCCACAAACCAGCAAATCCTCCGAGGCAGCGAGTGGCTGCAGATCAGTCAGCTGCTCTGATGCTTGACTGCAGCGTTCGGCACATTCAGCCTGGCTGACCTGCTGCCCTGCTGCTGCTGCCACTGCTGCAGCCGCCGCTGCTGCAGCCACCGCTGCTGCTGCAGCTGCAGCCACCGCTGCTGCAGCCACTGCAAATTGAGAGGTTTCAAACTGGACCGACAGAAACACGCTGTGCATGTTTGTTTATGGCAGAATAAAAGCTAGAAAATCTGAGCTACGTCTGCTGGACTGACTCAGAGAAACATTCAGCTTTTCTTCTGCCTTGAACGCAGCATCTCTGCGAATCCTGTTCAGTTGGAAAGTCTGAAACGCTGGAGATGCAGTCGGCCTGATCCGTCCGTGTCTCTACCTGTTCAGACTGAAACGTGTCAATTTGAGAAACTGTCTAACAAATGTGAATGTTCATTCACACATTATTAAACACATTTGTTAATTATGTTGCACACTTGCAAATCTCTCCGTTTTAGGCCTGATGTAGCTCCAGAGTTGTGCTGTTACCTGAGAGGGCGGTGCACATGGCGGCGAAGGCACTGAGTTTCAGCTTGTTCATGACGCTGAAGCAGCGGCTCTGCTCCAGAACCATCAGAACCCCACCCACGAAGAGCAGAGCCAGGTACAGGCTCTCTGCAACCACACACAGCCACAGCACGCCTGGACAGGGCAGAGGTCAGAGGTCAGCAACCACACACAGCCACAGCACGCCTGGACAGGGCAGAGGTCAGAGGTCAGCAACCACACACAGCCACAGCACGCCTGGACAGGGCAGAGGTCAGAGGTCAGCAACCACACACAGCCACAGCACGCCTGGACAGGGCAGAGGTCAGAGGTCAGCAACCACACACAGCCACAGCACGCCTGGACAGGGCAGAGGTCAGAGGTCAGCAACCACACACAGCCACAGCACGCCTGGACAGGGCAGAGGTCAGAGGTCAGCAACCACACACAGCCACAGCACGCCTGGACAGGGCAGAGGTCAGAGGTCAGCAACCACACACAGCCACAGCACGCCTGGAGAGGGCAGAGGTCAGAGGTCAGCAACCACACACAGCCACAGCACGCCTGGACAGGGCAGAGGTCAGAGGTCAGCAACCACACAGCCACAGCACGCATGGACAGGGCAGAGGTCAGAGGTCAGACAATCCCCTAACATCACATCTGGATCAATTTACACTCCAATAATCAGCATCAGGACAAAAACTGATTATTCTAAAACTTAAGGAGCTTCAAGTCATTTCAATAAATCAGTTAAAAAATCAAATGTTGATCTAATAATTCTTGACTCATTGCATGAGGAAGGCATCAACAGGGCGTTGCTGGTTGGTCACTGTGCTGCATATAGCATATTGACAGAATGTTGAGTGGAAGGAAAAAGTGTCTGGAACCACATCAGCAAACAGCAGGGAGCATTGTGGGCAGGCCATCAGCTTTCCACGTTGTTTTCCAAGAAATCTCTCATCACATCCAAACTTTATTCCTGTAACGTCGTAAAGCTGAAAGTCGTCATGCGACACATTAAGCTTCTTTTTAACTCTGTAATTTCAAAGTGAAATCATTTATTTTCTTATCATTTCTACAATAAACTTGAGTTTTTAATGACAAACAAATGAGTGATTCTGTAGCGACGGGATATAAAAATATGTAAATTACTGAATATTTGAAAACAGTTTAAACATTTTCACACAGTGTTTGGGTCAGTAATTCTATATTTTGCTGGCCTAGAAAATGTTTCTGTCTACAACAGTGAAATATGAGTCATTTTTTATTTGAAAACAGGATTTAAGAATAAATTCACCAAAAGCTGCTTTTGGCTAAAAGATATTTAGGAATAAAAAATGAAATAAACATAAAAAAAAGTCCAATTTTGCATTAATTGCTGTCAAGGACCAGGCATTTATTTAAATGCACCAGACTTTGAACCCTCTACACCAGCAGTGTAGAGGGTTCAGTGATGCTAAACTTTAAATAGGCCGTTTGGTCTCTGTGTGGTTTGTAGAAGTTAATCTACAAACCAGGAAGTTTTATTCTTCCAAAGAAATTTAGTTTTTTCTGACAATAAACCCAAATTATTAAATGTTTCCTAAGAAAAATAAACTTTTGAATCATAAATTTACCAACCTCTTTGATGTTCAGGTGCAATCTCTGCAAAACTTCGACAATCAAATCCTGTGAAATAAAAGAATAAAAACATAAAAAACTGAAACTTTCAGACAGATAATCATTATGACATACCATGTTTTATATATTACTGTTTTAATACTATGTTTATACTCAATTTAATACTAAATTGTGTCTAAATTTTCTTTTGAAAAATGATAAATATAATTATCTGTACAGAAGCAACTTTTTCATATTTTCTTTAATAAAATGGAGAAAAGCTTTGAAAACCAATCAGGTGCTTCATGAAAAATGATCCCAAAACGATTCATTGGTGGACGACAGAAATAATCTGCTTCTTCAGATTATTTTCTTCTCCAAAATGGAAATAAAAGGATAAAAATAGAAACTAAAGTCGAGTGAAAGTTGTTTCTGCTGCATTTAAAAGTGAAAAATCCTGAAGCAGCTCCGGCTCTGAGCGAGTTCTGCTGCTTCAGGTCGGGCGAAACTCCAACTGTTTGTCTGCAGCTGAACCAGAGGTGAAAGGTCAAACTGAGTGGAAGGAAGGTGCTCTGGAACAGAGAGAAGTTTATTTCCAATCATTTCAACGCATCTTTAGTCAGGAGCTTCTTCAGAACCACTGTTACACTGACCTCTACAGGAGAGCCATCTTAGCTTCATCGATGAAGGATTTTTGAATTGAACTGATTCAACATGATAATTATCATTTTAAATCTCATGTCCAGTACTTATCCTCGTCTCTGACGTCGATTAGCAAATCTAAACAAACTTTTCTTTTATGTTTTCACTTGTCTGATAATCAGTGACGTGTATATTTTGTATGTTTTATGTTTTTTATGTAGTTCGTGTTTGGAAATATTGGCTTTAAATAATTTGCTATCGAACAAACTCACAGCTAAAGTCACTTTTCTAAATCATCCCACATTTGTGAAACATGGTCAGATAAAGATCTGTGTCTGGTTCAAAGAAAACGATTCAGCTGCAGTTTTCATTTTGATGTTGCATTTTAACACAGATGGAAAGAAGATGCTGTTAAATCCAATCTGGTTATGAAACAGTCCAATCAGATGGAATCAGATCCACAGATAACCAATCAGTTCACTTCAACATGAAGGAAGAGTCAAATCATATGTTCTAATTTAACCAGTTCTATGAAACAATGCAGACAAATTTAGTTTATGATCAACAAAACTAGTTTCTGATCGAAGAA